TATATATATAAATTTGGTGCAAAAATCAATTTTTATTTTTCTTTTGTGCATTTAGGTGGAAACTGCGTAGCTATTCTTTTTGATATATCTTGGGTGGTCGCTCAGGACCAACTTGTACTCCTGCTTCTGCCCAATACAATAGTTAGGGTTCCTAGTTTGACCCCAAGTCTTAAATCATCTTAGTCTCAATCTTAAGATCAATTTATGGAAAAAAAAAAAAACAAGTACATCAAGTCGGAAAAAATGCTTCAAATCAATGCTCCCTCCCAAGTTGTCAATGGTGGTCTAGGGTTTTAAGAGCTCAAATTATTATTATTATTATTATTATTATGTCTGAGGCCACCCATTCATTGAATCAAGAAGCTACAATAATGATGTGGATGCATAGAAATAAATACTAGCAAGTGAAGTCCAAACAATAGATTATAAAACATGAATTTGACTAATCAAAGCAACACATAGTTTAAAATTTCATGATTTGACACAATTGCTGTTGGTAAAATATGATTTATATTTTTTTTATTTTTATTTAATGAAAAACGAGTAGACTACTCCACTGACATACCCAAAAAAATCTTGTTTAAAATTTGACATACCCGCTTTACATAAATTAGTGTTTTAGGAATTCGACTGGCATTTTACAAATAAATTGTACAATGACAAACATGACCATATTAAATATGTAGTTATAAGGGTCATCACTATCCACTTCAATGTTGAGTCCCTATTATCTCTTCATCACCATTTCTCCCTATAATTTGAAGGTGATAACACTTAAGTATACTTCTCCTAAAGATGGAGATGGAGCTTATAAGGGATTTGATCTGCAACGCACCTTAGGAGAAACTGTTCTCTTTTCAAAGATATAGAATTTACTCACATAAATAAAAGGACTTTAACTTTCCATGTTTTTACAGGGTTGCGATGGGTCTGTGCTAATAGATTCGACTGCGGGTAACAGCGCTGAGAAGGACTCACCGATTAATAACCCAAGTCTTCGAGGTTTCGAAGTCATTGATAAGGCCAAGGCTGCCATAGAGGCCGTCTGTCCCAAAACTGTGTCATGCGCCGACGTCCTAGCCTTTGCCGCCCGAGACAGCACCGCCCTCACTGGCGGCCTCAACTTCCCAGTCCCTGCAGGCCGGCGTGACGGTCGCATCTCCATAGCAAGCGAAACCTTCACTAATCTCCCTCCTCCAACATTCAATGCAACTCAACTGGAACAAAGTTTCGCCCGGAAAAACCTCACCTTAGAAGAAATGGTCACTCTCTCAGGCGCACATTCCATAGGCCGGTCTCATTGTAGCTCATTCGTTCGCCGCCTATATAACTTCAGCTCAACTAACCAAGTAGACCCCACTTTGGACCCTGGCTATGCCACCTTCTTGCAAAGCCAGTGCCCCTTTAATGCATCTACTAATAATGTTACAGTGGTCCCAATGGATGTGTTTACACCAAATGATTTGGATGTGGGTTACTATGTTGGGTTGACTCAACATTTTGGGTTGTTTACTTCTGATCAAACACTTTTGACCAATTCTTCAACACGGCCTTTTGTGGAGGAGAACATAGTGAATCCTGGTGTTTGGGCAATCAGGTTTGCAAAGGCCATGATAAAAATGGGAAAGATTGAGGTTCTCACTGGAACAACTGGAGAGATCAGAACTAATTGTAGGGTTATTAATAGTGCAAAATCAATTGGTTCAGTTATTGATACTTTGGGCCATTCTTCTTCTAAGGTGGCTAGTACCTAAAAGCCTCAAAGTGGTGCATGGGGAGAAGATAATGATTTGAAAAAGTGAGGGGGACATTGTGTTTCTCTTGATGTTTAATTGCTCTGTTTTTCCTTCTCTTCTGTTTTTATCTAGATTGTCTCCATGTGATAATGTGAAGCCAATGGGCCTAATTTGTGTGGTGCTTGCAAAGATTAAGAAATAAAAGAGGCTTCTTCTTGTTATTTGCTAAATTTAAATTGGGATCATAATAAGTCCCTCTGTGGATATACTCTTGTTGTTTACTTACAAACTGTGCCTAGAAGCAGGCCTTAGAAGTCCCCTTCTATATGGACTTAGTCTTGTAGCCTCGAAGAATCTCTTAGATAGCAATACCATTATTGCCTATTGAATGGCCCTTCAAAGAACTCCACCTTGGCTAGCTCCCTCCCGCTCAATTTCGATCCCAAGCTCAGATAAAAGAGGAAGGTTATGTTATTAGTCAGCATAGAATTTCGTCGCAACTTTTATAAATCCTGAATCTATATTATCTGCTCATGTTAGAGAGTTTCCTATAAACAAAAGTTTTATTGAGGGTATGACCTTTGACAGAGCAGGATGGTGGAACTGAATTCGTATAGCCGACTCCAAATAATTGGAATAAATCTCTTATGATGATGATGAAAAATGACCCTTCAAAGTTGAAGCATCTAGAAGTTGAACAAATGTTTACAATGTTTTAAAAAAGGGAGTTGATTGTTGCTAATCCTGAATAGGAACAATTTAGTCTTTTTAACATATTTTTTAAAACGATGCCCAACTGACATGAAAATTAACAATTGAGACTTATAATTTGACCGCCTTAGTGATTTTGCAAGAGGATTTGATCGTCTAATTGATACTTTTCCTTTCTCTTAATCGAAGACTTTTTTTAATATTTTGGGCCTAGTGAATCCCTCTAACTCCATGTATGTCTTGGACCTCTACTTTTGGGTTAGTTTGGAGAATTTTGGGTTCCTAGGGTCCCCCATGGAATTTGAACTGTCTTATTTTAAAAGGAAAATGAAACTTTGTGGTAAAGTTTGGGTTCTCGGTATTGTCGCAGTTCCTACATAGCTGAACGTGAAAGTGCTACAGTGTTGGGAAGCGTTATCTTTCTGAAACGAAACGTTCCTATAAACAAATACGCCCTAGGTGCCTCTCTCCATTATTTGGGTGATCGTGCATACTTTTCTTTAGCCAACAAAATCCGTTTCTCTCATATTCATTAAAGCTTTTTTTTTTTTTTTTTTCTCCGTAGTGCATCTCATTGTTTTGTTCTCTATATCAAAGTGAATCATAATCTCACCTCTCAACATTTCTCTCTCTTATTCTCCCTCTTGGACACCCTGCCCACTTTTCACCTTTTATTTTTTTTTTCTTTTTTGATTGCTTTAAAATAATAATAATCATAAAAATAATAACAATAACAAGAACAATAGCAATAACATTAACAATAGCAATTACAATAACCATAACAATAGCAATAACAATAACGATAACAATAACAATAATAATAATCAATCTCAGCTGATCCATTTATCATCGAATATCTCTTCTTTAATGGCCAGTCCATCCTCAACATCTAAGTATCCCTATCCCTCTTCTTTTAAAAACCTGGCTCGCATCCGATAGGTCGGTGAGGCCCTGTAGACTCTCCCAGTCCCCATCAGTTGAGTCTTTATACTTTTTTGGTTTCACTACAAAATTTTCTTGGATAATTTGCTGGTCTGGATTGGAACTACTGTTGGATTTTATTTTATTTTTTTCTTTTTTGAGAATCACGGTTTTCCATCTCTTTCTTCCTTTACCCCTCCTACCATAAAAGTTATTTTCCCTCATACTGTAAAGCTTATTTCAAAGAGATTTGTATGGGCTTTTTTGAATTTGTGAAGTGTGGTTCCCATAGGATCACCATATAAATAATCTTCCCTTGTTTGTTTTTTAATTGGAAAAGGGAATGGAGTTGACTACCGGATGGGCATTGCATTTTGTAAGTAAAAAAGATCAAAATTGTAAAAAAAACAAAGGGAAACATAATTTGGGAGCTAATGGTCCCAAAGTTTTAAATTTGAGGGGCATAAAGAATTTTGGTAAACTCAAGAGGCTAATAAGAATGAAAATTTCGGGGAGGGGATAAAGGTCATTTTCCCAAAAAAAAATATGAATATCAAGTTGGAAAAAAAAAAATGCTTCAAATCAAGGCCCCCTCCTAGGTTGTCATCAGATCAAGGGTTTTAAAAGCTCAAATCATCATCGTCGTCATCATCATCATCATCATTATTATTATTATTGAAGTTTTTCACTTGGTGAACCAAATGCATTTTAAAAACACCCATAGACATAAGAAGAAAAAAAGAAAAAAAAACAAATCCCTCGAACAAGAACTTAGGGCATTAAAAAAAAAAAAGTGAAGTGTGATTCTCATAGGACCACCATATAAATAATCTCCCTTGTTTGTTTTTTAATTGGTAGGTGTGTGACTTGAAAAAGTGAGAGAGAGAGTAGATGGCTCAGGGGACAATAGCATAGCAAATTAGAATTCAATAATGGGAAATCCTAGGTGACCAGTAGGCAAAACGAAAAAAATATTCAATGTCTGAGGCCACCCATGCATTGAATCGAGAAGGTATAACAATTGAATAATGAAGCATAGATAAACAAAGTAGCACGTGAAGTCAAAACAATAGATTATGAAACATGAATTTGACGTACCTGCTTCACATAAATTAGTATTTTAGGAATTTGATTGGCATTTCACAAGTAAAATTTACAGTGAAAACATGACCATATTAAATATGTAGTTACAAGGGTCATCACCATCCAATCAAAGGGTTGGGCCGAGATGGAGACGGATTGGAATCCATGAAACCCATTCAACCCATTCATCTCTTCATCACCAATCAACCCAAGGTGATAACACTTACGTATACTTCTCCTAGAGATGGAGCTTGAGATCTTACGTATACTTCTCCTAGAGATGGAGCTTGTAGTGGATTTGATCAGCAACTTGCCTTGGGGGAAACGTTCTCTATTCAAAGGAATCGAATTTAAATGGATAAACAGACTTTGATTTTCCATGTCTTTACAGGGTTGCGATGGTTCTGTGCTACTAGATTCGATAGCCGAGAAGGACTACCCGGTTAATAACCCAAGTCTTCTAGGTTTTGAAGTCATTGATGAGGCCAAGGCTGCCATAGAGGCCGTCTGTCCGAGCCTTTGCCGGCGCCACGGTCTCATCTCCATAGCAAACGAAACCTTCACTAATCTTCCGTCTCCAACTTTCGATGCAACTCAGCTGGTCCAAAGTTTCACCCCGAAAAACCTCACTAAAAAAGAAATGGTCGCTCTCTCTCGGGTGCACATTCCATAGGCCGGTCTCATTGTACCTCATTTATTAACCGCCTATATAACTTCAACTCAACTAGTCAAGTTGACCCACTTTAAACCGTAAGTATGCAGCCACCTTGCGAAGACAGCCCCTTTAATGCATCATGTTACAGTGAATGTGTTTGAATCAAATCACTTGGATGCTACTTACTATTTTGGGTTGATTAAGAATAAAGGGTTGTTTACTTCTGATCAAACACTTTGGGACAGTAATTCATCAAATCACTTGGATGCTACTTACTATTTTGGGTTGATTAAAAATAAAGGGTTGTTTACTACTCATCAAACACTTTGGGACAGTGATTCGACGCAGCCTCTTGTGTTGGAGTTCTTGGGAAGTCCTGCTCTTTGGCCAGACAGGTTTAAAATGGCCATGATAATGGTGCGAGAGACTGAGGTTCTCAATGGAAATAATGGAGAGATCAGGACTAATTGTAGGGTCATTAATAGTGCAACATGAAAAAGATGGGAGAGACTGAGGTTCTCAATGGAAATAATGGAGAGATCAGGACTAATTGTAGGGTCGTTAATGGTGCAAAATCAACTGGTTCAGTTATTGATATTTTGGGCTATTCTTCTTCTCTAAAGCCTCAAAGTGGTGCATGGGGAGAAGATAATGATTTGGAAAAGTGAAGGGGGCAATGTGTTTCTCTTGATGATTAATTACTTTCTTTTCCCTTTTCTTCTTTTTTTCTAGATCGTCTCCATGTGGTAATGTGATAAACTCTTGATGTTTAATAATTTTCTTTTCCCTTTTCTTCCTTTTTTTTCTAGATTGTCTCCATGTGGTAATGTGATGAACCTTTTCTTCTTCTTTTTTCCAGATTGTCTTCATGTGGTAATGTGATAAAAAAATAAAAAGGCTTCTTGGTTATTTGCTAAATTTAAATTGGGATCATAATAACCTCTTGTTGTTTGCTTATAAAATGTGCCTAGAAGCAGCCTTAGAAGCCCTTCTATAGTCTTGTACTTAAAGAACGTGCCTCGAAGAATTCCTGCCGCTCAATTCCGATCCCAAGCCTGGATAAAGGAGGCCGATCCCAAGCCCGGCTAAAGGCTCAATTTTGATTCCAAGCCGGATAAAGGAGGCCGGTCCCAGAATTCCTGCCGCTCAATTCTGATCCCAAGCCTGGATAAAGGAGGCCTATCCCAAGCCCGGATAAAGGCTCAATTCTGATCCCAAGCCTGGATAAAGGAGGCCGGTCGCAAGCCTGGATAAAGGAGGACATAAAAACTCTTTCCACCTGTTTGCAAGGTTTATTGTATGAAAGCTTTGTTTAGATGGATATTAACCCTTTATTCCAAAATTTTAGCCCAAATAAATCCCTCTAGCTCTATATCTTGACCTCGATTTATCCCGTAGGCTCACATTATTTTTCCAAAAATATAGAATTCATTTTAAGGAATTGGCAGCACAACCATTTAATGAAAGGCTTCCACGATCATCACATTGGAGGAAAGAGAGTGATAAAAATTAAACCATTATGCAACCGATACAGAGAGGGGGGGGGGGGACTCTAACTTACCACAATAATAAAAATAAAACCATTATGCAAGAGAGAGAGATAGAGAGGTTCAAGCAATTCACCCTAAAAGAGATTTCTATTAATTTCCATTGTTCATTCTATTGGATGCTTATGTCAAGGAAAGAAAAAAAAGAAAAACTAAACCCTCTAACCTACTGCCAGCCCTTATACTGGAAGGACTTAAAACAAAAAAAAAACTTATGATGATTCTAATTACCCTAAATTCATACGCTCCCAATCAATTCACTGTAAATTATGATATCCTAATCACCCCAAATGCACGGTAAGTGGGAATGAAGCCCCCTGCATCTCATCCCCAATCAAAATCGTATGCTCACCGGCTGGCACCAACTTATACGCCGAACTATCGACCACGTACAAGCTCTCACACGCGTTAAGCTTAAACTTTACAGTCTCACTGTGTCCGGCCAGGACATGGACTCTTTGGAAGGTAACCAATTGCTTGATCGGAGCACCTTCGAGCCCCACAGGTGGCACATCATACACCAAGACCACATGACTACCATCTTTAGGCCCTAAATTGTTCACAGCCACCTCAAACTCGTCATGTTTTTCGCAGCTCAAGTCAGAAACCAAGGCTGAGTCACAAAAGGTAAGCCCATCATCTGTGTAGATGACTTTATGGCAAAGTTTATTCTCGCCTAGGCTGAGGTCCACGGAATCGGGAATGGATTTGAGGGTGTAGTTGAAGTATGAGTAGCTCATGCCATAGCCAAAGGGGTAGATGGTCTCGCCTGTTAAAAACTTGTAGGTTCTACCAGCATAGCCCTGGTCAGGGAGGGGCCTGAGGGGCATGGATGTCATTGGGATCTGCTTCACGTAGTCGTTGTAGTACCATGTGAGGGGGAGCCGGCCACCTACAAAATGTAGTACTTGGATTACAGTTCAAATCTACCTCAAAAAGTAAAAGTGCTGGTAGAATAAAAGAAAATTTTCATGTTGCTTCTTATCAATATGAGCAAAAATTGGTGCTAGAATAAAAGAAATTTTTTATATTGCTTCTTATCTCAATAAATTATTTGAAAGATTTTGAGAAATTTTTTGAAAGTGATACAAATTAAATTTCTAGAGGTTCATATAAAAGTGAGAGAGAGATAAGAAAGTCATATAACTAGGAGTCATATAGAGTTATAAAACAAGATGAGCAAAAGCCATATAAATTGAAGAAAAGGAAAAAGCGAGATCCTTAAAGTATGATAAGATATACCAGGGTTGTATTTTCCATAGATGACATCTGCAATGGCTCTCCCTCCTTCACCACCAGGGTAACCAGCCCAAAGCATCGCTTCGACAAACCAATTATTCTTGGCAAAATTTATATCAACAACTCCACCTGACATTATAACCAGAATCTTAGGCCCACCTGCAACAGCCATCACCCTATTAATCAGCTCAGTCTGTTGACCAGGAAGAAAGAGAGAGATCATTCCTATCATGACCCTCAGCTTCAATTTGTGTATCCAAGCCCATGACAAGAATAGTGACATCTGCAGTTTTGGAGGCAGAAATTGCGTCTTCGAACAAGCTCGTGTCCCCACAGTGAGAGTCTTTACACCCTAGATGGTACTCAACAGTTGCATACTTTGAAAGGCCTTCAATAGGGGATACGTACCTACGAGGAATACCTAAAAACCCAACAAAGCCAAGAAACCTATTAAATTCAAGTTATGGAGGAGGGAATCAACTTGAAAAGCTATGTTATTCTGGGTGGGAGATCATTATTTGAGCCATATAAGTGTATATCTATGCATTCATATGGATCAAATAGTATTCTCGCCCACAAGAAGGTATATATTCACATGGATTACATAGTAATCTTTTGCACACTCATATTGACCACTGATAGTGAGCCCACAACAATATTACAACATGTCATTTTTTCATGATTACCTACATAGTTTCCTCTCATTACTATGAGTTCGTATGGATCAAATAGTAAACTCACCTGCAAGAAAGCATATATTTACATAGATTACGTAAAAATCTTCTACACACTCATATGGAACCGTTGATAGTGAGCCTATAACAATGTTACAACATGCCCCTTTTAATGATTACCTGCATAATTTCCTCTCATTACGTCAGTTGCATTAGCATTATTCCCAATAACCACAATATTCTTGTGTTTATTCACATCCAATGGAAGGATGTTGTCCCTATTTATCAAAAGCACTATGCCCTCTCTTGCTGCCTCGGCAGCAAGCTCAATGTTCGACTCGCTGCACACATCATCTTTCCCTAGTTTTGTGTAAGCAGGTTGCCCATCAAAGAAACCGAGTCTCATGAGCACGACGTACAGGTTTACCAATGCCTTGTCCACAACACGTTCATCTATCTTGCCTTGTTGGACAGCTGGGTAAGTGTAATTTGGATAATAGCTTCCACAATCCAAGTCTAGCCCAAATATACATAAATTTAATTTCAGATGATAGAAATTTAATTTTTCCATTTTAACTTTATCTTTTACCTTTTACCTGTTTTGTTGATATTGGTATCTATTTATTCTAACAAATTTTTTTATTTTAGTGTAAATTTCAAAATTAACTTGTATGGAGGTATGGAATTTAAATTTTAATGAGAACTCATGTTTAAGAGGAGAGATTTTTTAAAATTGGAGGGAAAATGAAAAATTATGATTATATAGAGGAATCAAAACAGAGAAATTTTGGAAGGTTGAAAAGTAATTAAGAGGAAAATAATTGATAAAAATATATACAAAAAAAAAAGTAGATCTTACCAGCTCTCATGGCTTGAGCAACAGTGTCTTCTTGAGTGTCATTGAGAAAATGAATATCATGATACATCACCTCCAACGAATCACAATCCGAAACAATATACCTTCAAATTATTCAAATACAAACCATAGTAATCGTGAATTCTTCATACACTTAAAAAAAAATTATAATTACAAAAATTTAAAAATAAAAAAAAGAAGAAGAAGAAAGAAGAAACGATACGCAAGTATTGAGACAAACAAAGGAACCAATATCTCCTATGTCTAATCTCAACTATTAGGACGAAATGATATGCCTTCAAATCATTTAACTGAAAAATGTTATTAATCATGAACGATTAAAAAATTATTCAAGTACGAGCACTAGTAATCACAAATAATTCGTACACTTAGAAAAGATTGAAACTCAAATATTGAAATGTACTAATGAAATAAAAATGGGTACCTTCAAATAGTGTCGAGGAATGTGGTTTCAATATTGAAAATCTTTGTGATAGCTTTAAAATATAGTTTTATATTTATTTATAAAGTTTAAAGCTTCAAATATATCTATGAAAACTTGAAAATCTTGAAAATTAACTGTAAAAAAAGGTGTTACAAAATACACTATTTCCAAAACTTATAATCTATTTTTTTCTCATGACCATGCATCTTGATGTCGAGATGATCGATTTGAAGATATTTGGTCATCAAAACAACATCCTCTAGTGAAATTTTGGAGGTAGGCTCAAATTTGATTGTTTAGAGCCTCGACTCTATATAAACTTTTCTAAATAAAAATAGTTTAGATAAAGGGTGCAGTTTATATAGAGCCTAGGCTCTAAACAATCAAGTTAGAACCTACCTTTAAATAATGTTGAGAAATATACGGTTTCAATACTGGAAATCTTTGTGATAGCCTTAAAATATATTTGCATTTTTATTTATAAACCTTAAAGCTTCCAAAAAAAAAATCGTAAAAATTGACGGTCCTGAAATATGTTACAAAATACACTATTTTCAAAACTTGAAATCCATTTTTTTTTCATATCCATGCTGATGATCAATTTGAGGATATTTGAGCATCAAGGATATTTGAGCATCAAAACAACTTCTTCGAGTGAAATTTTTGAGATAGGCTCTAATTTGATTCCTTTTCCTTTAGATAAATGTACTCATGAAATAGAAATAGTTGAGATA